CCCCCAGCCAGCAGGCTGGCTGGGGAATTCTGGGAGCTGAAGTCCACACATCTTAAAGTTGCCAAGGTTGAGAAACATTGTTCTAAGGGTTGTAACGGTCCTTGGTGATCATCTAATCCAATCCCTTGCCCAGTGCAGAAATCCACTACTACATCATCCTTGACAGATGTCCATTCAGCCAGTTTTAAACACTTCCATCAAAGGTGAGCCTACCATCTCCCAAGGCAATTTGTTTCATTGTTGAATAGCTTTTACTAGTAGGAAATTTACCCTGATACCCAACTGAAATCTGCTTCTTGTAACTTAAACCCACTGTTTCTTGTCCTGTCTTCCAGAACAACTCTAAACAATTTTGTCCCATCTTCTACATGACAGTCTATCTTCTTTCCAGACTGAACGTACTCAGTGCTTCCAACCATTTGAGAGGTTGTCCTTCTGAACCCCTTATCATCTTGGTTGCTCTCCTCTGCATGTGTTTCAGTTTGTCAGTGTGCTTCTAAAGTAAGGTGCCCAGAACTGGGTGAAATATTTATTAATTTACAAACATTGTATGGTACCTGTGCTCATGATTCTAGGTGCCACCTGACAAATGCAGAATGGAGAAGAACAATGACTTTGGAGCTGTCAGCCCTGGGCTAAGTAGACTGATCACTTGACTCTGCATTAGTTTTGTACACTTATATTTTGTATTAAAATAAGAGATAGCATTTATTTTCAAGTGAATGAGAGGCCTTTGAAATTCCAATCCTTTTACCAAAGCATTTGTCAGGAAACGTTGTTTTAGTTTGTAATGAAGGAAATCTGCCAACATTTTTAATGAAAGTTTCCCCAGCCAGAAATGACCGCTGTGTTCTCTTATGCTTAATTGCTGATTTGCCTGCAACTTTGCCAATTAACACGAATTGTTTAGATCAGTTTTCAGTCTAATTTTTATTAACACATAGCTTATACAAGAGAAGATATTACTAAGGATATATGTGGGTGGAAAGGAAGCATTCTGCAAAAGCCTCCAGAAAATAATAATGTGATTTGATTCATAATTTGGAAATCACTTAAGGAAATGTGGTTTGTCTGATCAGCATCATTACTATTTTATTAAAGCTATGTACTTTGCTTTATATTTCAATTTTTCAGTTATATAAAACTAAAAGACTTGTGAAAGCTAGCAAAATGAGGTACTAAATTCTCCCATTACCCCAAAGTATATGTGGTATGGATTAATACTAAATGTCTCATTATGTAGTTTTGTGTCATGAAATCTTACTAGCCCTCCTATTTATCTGGAAAAGAATTTGTTAAAAAAAGGTTAAATTGATCTATTTTTACATATTCACAGGCAATATTGTTATCCATAATAAAAACCCACTTTTCTTCATATCTGCAGTTCTTAGTATCTTGAAAGTCTCACATCCAAAAGCAGTTTTACTATATATTGGGTCTGTAATTTTTTAGACTTATCTCATTCTGGCTTCAGGTTTAGTTTTGAGGCTAATAAATCTTTGGACAGCCTGGTAGGAACTCAGTACTTCTTATCTATAAATTCTGTAAACCATCTGATATTACCTTTGGCAAGAATAGTCTTGAGGAATCAGTCTTGTGGTCCTTTCTTAAAAGCCTGTTTGAACAGATGGCGTTCTTCACCTGTACTTGAGCCTTTGGATTATGCCATTGGTCATGGATGGGTCTTGTCTTCCATACTATTTAACATCTACATGGAACCTTGAACAGATTTCCAGAGATTTGGGGTATGTTGAGAATTACTGGAAAGTTTCTCCTTCTAAGTTGATGGTGACAAGAGGTAGCTCAATAGCTGGGCCAATACTTCAGAACATTTTCCCCATTAAATGGGGACGTCTTTTGCTGGTTGGTAAAGGCAGGTCCATTCTGACCAGTGTTTGCTTGCAAGTGTGCTTTTATAGTTCCTGGCTCTGTATTTGTTAACTATTTTTTAAATGAATGGACTTAATAAACTAGTGGATTGTGATTTTAAACTATTGTGAGCTGTTCCAAAAAAGCTGGAGATGAATGCATAAAATAAACAAAGAATAAATATTCCTTCTTAAATTCAAATTAGAATCAGCTTTGTTAGAACAGCAGATAAAGGCTGAAGAATTGTAGCATTTAATCCCAATTCAGACATGATACCCTATGTGATTTATTTCTCAGCCAAATTAATATCACAGCATGATTGTGAAGAGTAGGAGAAAAATGACTTATATAATAAAAAGATGTACATGTGTGTTTCTGATAGAGGGAGGATGCACCACAAGTCAAGCCCCTTAGTCAATTTATTATATAAATTACATTAAATGTTCAAATTAGCTGCCATTTTCTTCTAAACTCTCCCTTACTTGTTTGACGCATGACCTTTGAAGAGTCCTAAGTACTGAAACATTTTCTCTGGGCGGGGGGAAGAAAACATTGTGATTAGCCTGATGTTTGGTATGCCCTGTCTATATGAAAAAAAAAATTAAAACTATCTCTTTTATAAACAATATTCTCTCTTAATTAAGTTGACTATTTCACTCTCTATTTATTCCTTTTCTTGTGTTTTCTAGCCCATATTGTCTACTGACTGGTGAACGCTGTATTCTAGAACTTGGGTATCCTTAAGGTTTCTTAAGGCAGTGGAGGGCTGATCCACTCTCTTTTTTCTTTTACTAAACCCATTTTCATGCTCTTCTGTCCTTTGATAAGTGGAGTTGTTACAAGCAGTACTATGCAGTCTTTCAAATGGTATCTAGTTAGTGAAAGAGAGACTGGTACCGTGACTGTGATGGTGAATCTGCAAGGATTTGTTATTTTTCATTCTGCCTAGTTCTGTTTTTCTCCATCCACAAGGAGCAGCGTGCGCAGAATGTTAAATATGTCCTTATATTTACTCGTGGAATGGAAAGGTCACTTGAGCAAGAAAAAAAAAAGATCCATGACCCCAATAGAAAGTAAATGAAGGAAGCTTTAGGGTTCCAATATAAGCTAGAGATTTCAAGAAGGCAGAGGTTACAAAAAGGAACATAAATATCATTTCATTTATAAATACACTCTTGCCAAGACATTTGTTCTGCTGCACAGAAACAACTGCTGGGAGAAAAATCTCTACAGATTAAAAACATAAATTAAAACATCATCAAATCCGCAAGAACACGAGAGAGGAAACTGCCTCCAAGTCATCAAGAAATGAATGGATTGAGCTCCATATTTAAGAAGGGAAGCTCTTCAACAAGAAAAAGGAAGACCAGGAAGACAATTTCGCGCTTGCCAATCATGGGAGATTCTCTCCTACCATTAGTCTGAATGTGTGAAAGGATGTTTAATTGTGTATGCAGTAGGTTTTTATATCTGTTGAATGCTATGCAGGAAGATTGGTTTACAATGCATCACAGTTTGCTGCATTTTTATTGAAAGGGTATTATTGGTCCTTCTTCCATCATTTTTTCTGCTATAGGGTTATGCACATTTTGAAAAGATTTTTAAAATTTTATATATTCTGTATAATATGAAGGTCATATTATAAGCATCAAATTTTAGAAATTAGATTTAGCCAAATAAGAATATTTTATAGTGTGTTTAGGATGTATTATGGTTGGTTGCACAGTCAGCCAGATGTTTAGACTGGATTTGGCATTTTTATCCACCTATCGAGCTCTTTATGGTTGGTTGCACAGTCAGCCAGATGTTTAGACTGGATTTGGCATTTTTATCCACCTATCGAGCTCTTTATGGTTGGTTGCACAGTCAGCCAGATGTTTAGACTGGATTTGGCATTTTTATCCACCTATCGAGCTCTTTATGGTTGGTTGCACAGTCAGCCAGATGTTTAGACTGGATTTGGCATTTTTATCCACCTATCGAGCTCTTCCCAAGGACCTAGGATAGGCAGATGTTGTTGTTTGATGGTGTTAAAGGTATCATCGCAGGATATAAGCTGTTCCAAGTAAAGCTGCCTTTTGGAATTGACTGTCAGTGCCAGTGGTCTTCAAATGGTGCTCCAGATGTATGGTTGGTTGCACAGTCAGCCAGATGTTTAGACTGGATTTGGCATTTTTATCCACCTATCGAGCTCTTCCCAAGGACCTAGGATAGGCAGATGTTGTTGTTTGATGGTGTTAAAGGTATCATCGCAGGATATAAGCTGTTCCAAGTAAAGCTGCCTTTTGGAATTGACTGTCAGTGCCAGTGGTCTTCAAATGGTGCTCCAGATGTTTTGGGATTGCACCCAAGGCACCTATAACTATTGATACTATCTTTCCTTTCTTTTGCCATAGTCATTCTACTTCTATTGGCAGGCCTTTATATTTTGTGATTTTCTCCTCCTATTATTATTATTAATATTAATAATAACAACTTCACCTATCCTGGAAAATCCAGGTTGTCTTAAGAGTTTCACTCCGTGTAAGTTGAGGGTACCTCTCCTCCCCTCCTCCATCCTGTAAGGCTGTTTTGGAAGTTTTATTGCAGTTAGGATTCAGTGTTATTGAGGAGGGCAAGACCACAGAAGAAATTGGCAACTTCGACCTACTGTTGGCTGTGGTGTTCTCAAATGTCTTCTGCAAGCAGTCAAGCAGATTTCAGATAAGGATGATTTCTCTCTCTCTCTCTCCCTCTCTCTCTCTCTCCTGGTTGCCTGTTGTACAAGAGAAAAAGAAGACAG